AACCAAATTTTTAGCACAATGCCTCTCAAGCCAGCAAAGAGCATTTGGGAGAAGAGGAGGTGAGTTGGTTTTCTGCTTTCACACTTACCTCTTGACTTCATCAGTTCTGCTTCTGATTTCAAAGTCATTTGCCTGTAGCCTGCAGTCAGCACATGCTCATGGAATTAACTCGAAATGTGCAACAACAGAAGTAAACGGCAGGAAAATAGAACTTGACTGCATGCAAGAAGTGAAAGACTCCATGTTGGAAAGAATAAGAAACAGAAGAGGGCCAAGGTGAAGTATTAGTTCAGAAATTAGATTGAAAGAAGTTAACAGAAGAGCCAGTAGATCCTTCTGGAGTTTTTATTGTCAATTCATGTTCGTTGGGTCCATATTGCATTCCAGTGTCGGGAAAAAATACCTCCAAGTAAATCTCGAGAAGCAAAGCTTCTCTCCAACTTTCTCTAGCCCTCATTCTCCCTCAAGGCAAGTCACAGAATCTAATTTATCTTTCCCTAAATGGGTCATAGAAACTAGAGCCCCCTTTCCCCCATAGCAAGCCCTAAAACCTAAAAATATTACTCTTTCTCCAGCCTTTTTGTAAAAGAGTTGGTCATGAAGAAATGCTCTGACCTAACTTGTCTAATAGTAGGTCACAAGACTCTCATTCCAGAGAGTCCTGCCCCACACCAGGAAGGAAGGAATTCTGTACAGTCAGGTCAAGAAGAATCTGGACAGACAGTCCTCGCTGGATTTCCTTCCCTGGTCACTACCATTAGATCACCCTACTTGTCCAATCATGTTTCTGCACGGCTGTCCACACCACAACCAACCTACACACAAAAATGGAGAGTTCACTCTGTGTCTTTCCATCTTCTACCTGAAGGCTTCTGTGTCATATAAAACTATGATCAAATGTTTGTTTTGGTTTTCTCCTGTCGATCCACCTATTGTCATTTTATTCCAGCAGACTCAAATATCCAACCTTCAGAGGGAAAGTTTGAACTTCCCTACACTGACCACTGTGCCAAACTCTTCTACCTATAGAATCACATTTGATCCTCACCACAATTCCCCGTTTTACACAGAAAGAAACTGAGGTTAGCTCTAGTAAGATGGGTGTGTATGCTCAGAGGAGACCAGTCTGACTCCTTCCCTGGGCTCCACCTGCCATGCAAGGTGGCCTCTGTATCTGCTGAAAGGATGTGAGTAGCAATTGCCCTCAGCTAACAGCCCTCCCACTCACTCTGACTTTTTTCAACCTCCACCTCTTTGAATAAAGTGCAAGGAGATAAATAAGCCATGAGGAAATGGTTCCTGCTGGAGACTACAGGTAGCCCCATTCCTTTCCCATCCCCTCCACCCAGAAGACAGAACTGTTCCTTGAGGTTTGCTGCCCTGGCAGTTTCTGTCCCTGGTGGAGGGAGCCCTGCAAATCTCTCCTCTACTCCATCCTCCCAAGCACCTCAGGTGGGCCTGGTCCATCCCTAGTATGATAGGCCCTCAGCAATGACCACTATCAGCTTCCTGCTGCAGAAATGCAAATGAGAAAACCCCGTGCATTTGGAGATGATTCACCCTGAAGTGAGTAGCCCCTCAGAGGACCACAGAGCTGTTTCACTGGTACCCAGATGGACCCCTAAGGCCTCTCAAGAAGGAATGTCCTGAGCAAATAGGAAGGAGATCCAGATATCTGGAACGATTGAGAGGGAAGAAAGAAGGGGAGAAAACATCACCCATATCCAGAGGCCCAGCATCCAAGCTCCAAGTAAACCTGCTGGGGCTAGGCAGGATCAAAGCCTTCATCCCTGCCTTCAGGCAGCTCAAAGTCTAGATGGGTCCACCTACCCAATTCACAGTAGCCAAGTTATGGAAACAGCCTAGATGCCCATCAACAAATGAATGGATAATGAAAATGAGATGTATATATACACAATGGAGTTTAGACTCTACAAAGAAGAAGAGAACTTTATCCATTCATCTATTGAAGGGCACCTAGTTTGGTTCCACAATTTAGCTATTGTGAATTGTGCTGCTATAAACATTGATGTGGCTGCATCAGTATAGTATGCTGTTTTTAAGTCCTTTGGGTATAGACCAAGGAGTGGGATAGCTGGGTCGAATGGTGGTTCCAAGGAATCTCCATACTGCTTTCCAGATTGATCGTACCAATTTGCAGTCCCACCAGCAATGTATGAGTGTGCCCTTTCCCCCTACAATGGAATATTATTCAGCATTAAAAGAGAATGAAATCATGGCATTTTCAGGTAAATGGATGGAGCTGGAGAATATCATGCTAAGTAAGCCAATCCCAAAAAACCAAAGGCCCAATGTTTTCTCTGATAAGTGGATGTTGATCCATAATGGGGGTGGGAGGAGACTGGGAGGAATGGAGGAACTTTGGATAGGACAAAGGGGAGGGTGGGGAAGGGAAGGGGCATGGGCAGGAAAGATGGTGGAATGAGATGGACATCATTACCCTAGGTACATATATGAGGACACGAATGGTGTGACTCTACTTTGTATATAACCGAAGGAATAAAAAATATAATGCTCCATATGTGTATTATGAATTGAAATGAATTCTGCTGTTGTGTATAACAAATTAGAACAAATTAATTGATTAATTTTTAAAAAGAAGAAGAATAGAACTATATCATTTTCTGGCAAATGGATGGAACTGGAAAACACCAGTGAAACAAGCAAATTAAAAAAGTCAAGGGTCAAGTGTTTTCTGTCATATGCAGAAGCTAGAAAGAGAGGAAACAAGGAATAAAAAAAAATAGGTATCTCATGAAAATAGATAGGAGTCCAAAGAACTGAGGAAGGGGATCAGAATCAAGAGGAAGGGAAGAAGGGAGGCCATGGGGAAGTGTTGCGAAATGAAATCTATTAAATTACACCATGACCACATATGAATATACCACAATGATTCATGATTCATACATATATATATATATATATATATATATATATATATATATATATATAATTATAATGCACTACTTCAAACAATAATAATAACAACAGAAGGAAGATAAAAAGAACAGACAGGTTGGGGGAGGGGAGTGAGGTGGGAAAGGGGAGGTACTAGGGAATGAGACTGATCATATTATGTATATGCATGTATGAATGTAGCATAATGAATCCCACTATTCTGTATTATAATGCATCCATTAAAAAGCAAAAGAATAAAAAATCATAAAATGCACTGCTAAGACAGAGGGAAGTTCAGGACGGGGGTGGAACCCAGCATGGGAGCCATTAGTCCAGTGCACATTTTCCTGAAGGAGATAACATTTACACTTGTCTTCTTGTCTCCTCTTGAGTGATAAAAGCCATGAGAGAAAGGGATAGGGCTCTTTGTTTTTGTTTGCTGGCTTGTTTAGTATCACTTCCGTCTTAACCACATTCATGTCATTTACCTTCCACCCTTTCTACCCACGCTCCTGTTGATGTGGAAAAAAATCGAAATGAACAGCACAAGCTCTGCAGTCAGCCCTCTGGGGTCAAATCCTGGGGCAGCTCATTAACTGCATGATTTTGAGCTCTGTCTCAGTTTTTTTTATTGACAACAACTGTCCTATAGTTCTTGTGAAGATTGAAAAACTTAATGTATGGATGATGTTTAGAGCAGTGTCTGGCACATAGTAACCACTCAGTAAAAATGAGCTGCAGCAGGCGGGTGTCAAGGCACAGGCCTGCAATCACAACAACTCAGGAAGCTGGGGCAGAGGGATGATAAGTTCAAGGTGACCTGGGCTAGCAAGTTTCTGTCTCAAAATAAAAATATGAAGAAAGGACTGGGGGTGTAGCTTAGTGGTAAAGTGTCCCTGGGTTCCATCCAAGGTACCAAAAATAAAAATAAAACAATCAGCTGCTGCTGTTACCATCATTGCTACCAGGTGTTTACACTTATGCATTTCAATGTGCTTGCACACGTCACTTGACATAGTAGCTTGTGATAGATGGGAAGACCTATGGTAAAAGGATGTGGTCAGAGAGGGGAATAGATCACTCTAATGATTAAAACTAGTTAGTGCAGTTCTGGCTCCAGAACTTCTTTCTGCCCACATTATTTCCAATGTGTTCCACTTCATAAACTTGTTTTAAAACACTGGAGTTTCAGAAGACCATTCCTTTAGAAGTTTTGATGGTCCCGTGCTCCTTAAGCATAAACAAGAGGAGAGGAATCATAGTGGGAGACTTGACTTTAACAACCTTCAACAGACACCAGGCCCCACATCTAGGGTTAACTTGTGAATCCTTAGTTGAGCATCCAAACCAAATCCCCTTCTGAGTGTGATGAAACCAAATGGTCTCCCCGTCCCTCCAACCACTGTAGTCCTTCCCACCCCAACTCCCTCCTGTGAGGGAGCTCACCCAATGCCAGTGCATACACACAGCTGTGCTTACAGCCAGCACTGCGTGGGTGGGGTGCCAGCATGTTAGGGGAACTCAGCCACCCAACCCAGGACCATCACTTCACAGAAACGCAGCAGGAGGGAGTGCCAGGGAGGAGGAGAAGTGAAAGATGATATGCAAGCAGGGAGTTTTCTCCAAAGTGCACGTCCCACTGATCGGGCAGAAGTGCCAAGGGGCAAGGGAGGTGACCACAGGAGCAGGAATAAGTCCAGAAATCATGACATGATTGGCCGTGAGGGCACCGAGATGGGCCATATTTGCTGAATATCTTCCCATGAAAAGAGCCACCAGAGTCCCTCCCTGAGGCCTGCTGAGTGCCAGATGCCTGCAGGAAGGACACCAGAGCTCACTCCCTGGCTGGGGCTTGGGAACTGGAAATGCTTAGGAAACAGGTAAGATGCTGCTGGTCCAGCACCAGGGGCTAGGGACTGAGGTTCAGGAGGGCCAGACACAAATCATTTCTCGGCAACGCCCAGTCGGCATCAGGATATCATTTTGTGAGAACTGAGTGCTTGTCACTTTTGCGCTCCCTTCAGCTGGCACGAGAGCATCTGGAGGATTTGGAACCTCCTCTGTTGCTCAGCATTGCTTACCTTGCTCACCTGCACCCTGAGTTTGCTTCCCAGTTTCCTCCAGGGCACTCCTCTCCTCTGCAGCCTCTGTCCTCCTGGTACCCGCCTCTATCCACAAGAAAAGAAACAGGGCCTATGAGCAACTGAAGATGACCAAAGCACCCGTCCTTGATGACCTTCCTCTGCCTGACTTACCTCCTCCTGCACTCGAAGGCTCAGCTTTGCCCCAGGTGACCTCCTACCCTCCCCATGCCCTTCCCAAAGCCATGACATCAGTCCCCTTGGGTGCTGTTGACTCCTACCCCTCCAGCCAACTTGAAAGGACTGGTGCCACCTGGGCAATGGGCAAGCCACCCTCAGAAAAGGGACCAGCTGGAAAAGTCAGAGGCACCTCCTCCAGACTCTTCCCATGATCCCAGATCCCTATATCCTGAGGAAATTGGCCCAAATTAGGCACAAGTGGAAAAGTAGGTCAAACTCTGCTGTAGAATGTCATTTGCCACAACTCTGTGAACAATTATAATGATTCCCCTTTTTCAAGTGGAAAAACAAATTTAGAGAGTAAGTAATAAGCCCAAGATCACACAGCTCGTGAGCAGCTGGAATTGAACGTGGTCTTCAACAGGCCAAATGCACTTTCTTCCTCCCCACAAACACCTCTCTTAGTATGAAGGCTGAAACATTAAGAAACGGTTCTAAAGTGAAAATGCTCCAACAGATGTTTTTCTTAACATGGTGCATAAGCCCTGTGACTCTGAAGGCTAAAGCAGCAGGATCACAAGTTCAAGGCCCTAAGTAACTTAGTGAGATCTTGTCTCAAAATTTTTAGAAATTTTTAAAAAGGGATGGGGATGTAGCTCAGTGGTATTGCAGCACTGAGTTCAATCCTCAGTACTATAAAAAAATATATAGTATGTAATATACCTAAAAATATATAGTATGTAATATACCTCTCAATTTTATAGATTTTATGCCTCCTTAGATGAACAAGTGAAAATCAATTATACATTCTAATATCTCAAAATCCAGAAATGAATGGAATGGAAAACACACACACACACACACACACCCTTACACCACAGCCTTGGATACAGAGCAAATCTTCTCTGCCCATCACCAGCCCAATTGGGAATGAGGTAGGCAGGTGGATTTGAGGTCGATTCAATGGCCTCATTAAATTTTGAAGTAGTAGAGCAAGGGAAGAACTTTGAATAGGGGGAGAAAGGCAAGAAGCTTTTCTTGAGTACCTAGTAAGCCCCTGGGGCTCTGCCTCAGAGCATCTCCAGGACTGCTTCTTCATGAAACTCATAACCATATGCAAAGCAGGTGTCAAGATCTGTTTACAGAGGAGGAAAGAGAAGCTCAAAATAAAAGGTGCTTCACAGGCTTAGGTCATTCACTCACAGAGACCGAATTCTGACTCAAACCCAGATCTGACTTGCCCCAGAGGTCACAGATTTGGGAGTGAGACATAAAGGATAAATTTCACAATGCAATCCCCCATCTCTTACTATGATCTACTTTTATCAGGCAAAGAACGATTGTTCAACGACAAAAGAATAAAAACCTCAAAGAGAATATTGTGGACTTCAATCACTAAGCAGATCCTTTAAAAAACCAAATTAATACTCCTCCCTTCATTTTGAAGCAGCCTTTCTTTAGCACAATCTCAGGGCAGAGCCCAGCTTTTTGAGTCTGGTTTTGGTTTGCCAAAAGACAACACAGGTGAATTCCAAAAGGAAGAAATCACTCAGAAAAAGCAAAGTGACTATGGGTGGGGGCACAGGGGACCAACGGGTGGCAATCTCTAAGTCACCATGCCATTACTTTTGGGTGGCTGTGAGACTGTGGCAATGTTAATTTCCCCAGCCAGCACAAAACAGATGCCCCAGAATTGCAGGAAAAAAAAATCTCCACTTCTTCCTGCTTTCTCTTCAAGTGCATCATTCAATAATTAAAATCTATTGTATTCCTAAAGCAAAACACTTAGTAACACTTCAGCAGGCACTGGGAAGGAGGGAAATGGAATACTGATAGCAGGTCTACTGCTACCTTGAGATAAAATCAGCTTAATGCTAGTCATTTTCACATTCAGTTTCTAATTTTACCAAATAGCTTACCATTTGGAGAGCAGGGTTCCTTCTATGAATACCTACTGAATTAACCCTCCCCATCTCCCTGCTCTCCACCAACCCAGTGCAGCCCACTTCAAATGCTACAAATTGTTCAATCCTCTTTCCCCAGCCCACATGGGTGGCTCCCTTTTCTAATTCCATTTGCACTTTTGTTCATACAATTAGCATTTCATAGCATCTGAAATGCATTAAGTTATGTACTATTTGACATGTGGCAGACAATACGATTGGAACGGAACAAAAATGATTAGTAATAGTACCTGAACCTACTGAATGTTTACTAAGGACAGATATTGTTCTAGATGCTTTTCCATGCATTGTTTGGTCCCTGTCCTCTATGAGAATATCCCACTATTAATGCCCATTCTACAGATGAGGTAGACCTAGTCACCTAGTACTCACTCAGGGTTACTAAGATCAGAGGTGATGGAAACCAGAATTTAAACCCAGGCATCCTGGTTTGAGAGCCCTGGAAATTCACTACTACCTGCTCTACAGCTGCCTTTCTTGGCCCACATTCAAGGAGCTAACAGTTGAACAAAAGATAGACATGTGATCAGAAAGACACCAAGATGTGATAAGTGTTATGCCTGAGCCACAGAAGGGGACCAGCTTATACTGGAGGGTCTAGCAGGAATAGTTCCAGAAAATTCCAGAAGTAGGAAGATATTCCCAGCATTTTTTTCTTTCTTTCTTTCTTTCTTTTTTACAATTTAGCAAACTGAAGTTATATATAAATCCAAACTTCTCCTAACTCTACTATTTTATAAATCAGTGAGTAGTGTGGTGCACTCATCTAAAGAATCATTTTACCTAGGCTGACACAGAGTGCTAGAGAGCTGTGCTGGTAAACCAGTAATCTAGCACAGAAAAAGAAAAGGAAGGGGAAGACAGGAGAGGCGAAGGGACAGGAGGGAAGGAGAGGGACAGGAACCTGCTGTGTTTGCAGATTTACTTTGCTGCTTTCCATACCATCAGGGTACCATATGGCCTCCAAAACAAAGAATGCTCACTATCTGGTCTCTTATATGGAAAGCTTAGCTACTCTCATGCCACATTGCTGCATGCCACAAGACAGGGAACCTGGATAAATGTCTACACTTAGAGGATCACTTGACCCTTGATCCAGCCCCAGTCCTTTTTAATTTCATTATCATCCAGACTCTCCTGGTTGGAAGACCACCCTTATCCTAGCAAGAGCTTTGCTCTCCAGCCCCTGGGAGCACTTGGTTCCCAGTGAGAACACAATTAGATCTTTCCAAATGGGTTGATCCCAATCTGCCTGCAGAAGCATTTCTAAGTGGGTAGGCCCATGGAGTGTCAAGACATTCTACTAACACACACATACATACAAAGTATGCCACAACTCAAAAAGCTTAATAAATGTCGAACTAAACAAGTGAGCATGCTTCTTATTTCAAAGACTTTAAGAAGCCAGTGTGCTCTGTGAAACTCCAGATGCGGGGCGGGGGCATTTCCGGAACTGATTTGGCTTAGGGCCTGCTTCTTGAGAAGTCTTTCCCAGAATCCATTTTGGGAGTCTATGTCTAAAGGAAGTAGATCTCTATCAGAGTTCATCGAGGCTTCCTGGAGAGTTAGTTGCTTTGACCTAAGTTGTTGACTCAACTGTGACCACCCACCACCATTTGGCTGTGGGGAGCATCAACTACAGCAACTACAGCCACCTCACCCTGTAGAGAGAGGCCATTGCTTAACTCCTGGAAAGACCACTGCCTGCAGATCCCTTTTCCTCATGCTCCTGCAATGCCAGCTTCCTCTCCTCCTCCAAGTCTCCCCTCAGGTGTCACCTTCTCAAGGAGGCCACTCTACATCAAACTGCAAGGATGATGGCTTAGGAACAGGGTGGAGGAGCTGAAGCATAGGAAGTAGTGAGATTTTAACTGCAATTTAAAGGAAAATACAACAGAACTTGCTGATGAGTCAGATATGAGAAAAAGAGAAAAAAATCAAGGATAACTCCAAAGTTTTGACCTAAACCAAGGTGGATTTGGCAAATTGCATTAAAAAATATTTTAAAAAATAGCACACCATGAATAAGTCGGGTTCATTCCAGGGATGCAAGCTTGGTTCAGCATACAGAAATCAATAAACATAATTCATCACATCAATAGATTAGTGATAAGAATCACATGTTTATATCAATTCATGTAGAGAAAGCATTTGACAAAATACAGCACCCTTTCATGTTCAAAACACTAGAAAAACTCGGGATAGTGGGAACATACCTCAACATTGTAAGAGCTATCTATGCCAAATCCAAGGCCAACATCATTCTAAATGGAGAAAAATTGGAAGCATTCCCTCTAAAAACTGGAACAAGACAGGGATCCCCCTTTTCACCATTTCTATTCAACATAGTCCTTGAAACTCCATCCAGAGCAATTAGACAAATGAAGGCAATTAAGGGGTTACGAATATGAAAAGAAGAACTCAAACAATAATTATTTGCCATCAACATGACTCTATACTTAGAGGATCCAAAAAATTCCACCAGAAAACTTCTAGAATTAATAAATGAATTAAGCAAAGTAGCAGGATACAAAATCAATACCCATAAATCAAATGCATTTCTACATATCAGTGATGGATTCTCTGAAAGAGAAATCAGGAAAACTATACCATTCACAGTAGCCTCAAAAATAATTAAATAAAATATAAAATACTTGGGAATTAATTTAACCAAAGAGGTGAAATACTTCTATAATGAAAACTACAGAGCACTAAAGAAAAAAATTGAAGTAGACCTTAGAAGATGGAATGATCTCCCATGCTCTTGAATAGGCAGAATTAATATTGTCAAAATGGCCCTACTACTTAAAGCACTATACAGATTCAATGTGATTCCAATTAAAATTCCAATGTCATTCCTCATAGAAATAGAAAAAGCAATCATGAAATTCATTTGGAAAAATAAGAGACCCAGAATAGCCAAAGTAAAAACAAAAAATCATT